CTCCTGCTCCTCCTGCTCCTGGTCCTGGTCCTGGTCCTGGTCCTGCTGCCACTACGACGACGACGCCCAGACGACTACGACAGCTCCGCAGAGTACGACGGCTACAACAACGACTCCGACTACGGCTGCGACTAACTACGGTTGGGACTCACCACAGCGAACTACGTCGATGACGACTCTTGTAAATCGATGCTACTCTGATCATGTCTTATCAGCGTCATTGTCGTCATATCTGCACATCCGCATATAGATACATTGGCATGACATACACATGCCTCGGCTATAAAGAGGCATGTGCGGTCGGCCCATACCCTCAGCAAGCCAGCATGAGCCGGATCGATGCCAAGAGGCCGGAGGGTAGAACTCGACCACAAAGGCTGCAGGTAACCCCCAAGTACGGCAGACCTCGGGGTCGCGAGCGAAGCAAACACGACGAAAACAATCTGATTGACTAATTCTGGTGCATGATACTCCCTTTACATTCCAACGGAGCGATATGGGTAATTCGTGCGGAATTTTCCTAGGCCAAGCGCATCTACAAGCCACCCTTGGCCAAGGTAACAACGTGTGCTCCTGTGTGCATTGCCATGGGCGGCTACTCCTGGCCCCTGCTCCAGGGCCTAGACTTTGCAAAGAATTCGATCTTTAGCATAGGGCTTTGGGCCCGTTATACTATAGTCATAATAAGGAACCCCCAAAATAGTCTTGGTAAGTATTCAAGTCATGGCTGCCTTTCCAGACGAAGTCACAACACCTGCCCTGCTGCAGAGGTCTGAAATGCTCGCCCTGGCTCCATGAACTCTTATTCGGAAAACGGAGCCCTGCAACGGCGACTCACTCAGTCCAGCGCCCAGGGTACGGAGCTCATGCCCCTTTCGGCAGCGATACCAGTGGCCTTGGCGTAGCAGGGGCAGGTGCATTAGCAGTGCGTGATGCAAGATAAACCCGTCACCCTAAACCCACTCAAAGAACTCGGAAGCAGCCGTGATGCTGTCGATCAAGGCCTTTCTCCGGTGATCCTGCGCACAACACTAATCCAACCTACGCAGGAAGAGGAGGCAGCAAGCAAAACTGCTGGACATGCTTGGAAGACACCGTCCTCGGAGTTGTATGTGCGGTACCTGAACTTCGTTGCTTTCTTACTAGCTCCTATGCACCGCGTCGGCCCTATGCAATCTGCACTTTGGATCGGTAAAGAGTAGGGCCCTGGCGAGAGCATCCCACATGCAAGCAAGAGCAGCAGCCGTTTGGCGTCCCACGCTAGTCTTGCTCTACTCACATGACATGCTGTCGAGTTCACATCACGGAACCCGATGTCACTAGTGCTGGCTGGCTTGGTGTCAGATGTGCCCAGTGCAGGTGTCAGCGTTTTCAGTGTGAGTTGGCTCAGTAAGGACTGAGCATGGCCTTGGCTATTTGCGTTCACTACGGATCAGAACTCTTTGGATCCGTCTACAGCTGCCGTCACGCCCGCATCGCAGCTCCAAAACTCACGGGCTTTCTTGCAGAGAGCTTATAAAGACCTGAAGCCACTCTTCTGAGGCGAAGCTCAGGTCCAGGCGCCGTCTCCCAAAGGGCCAAACTTCCGTTTCATCTCCTGTTCCCGTGGAGCTCTCCGACTCTCCAATACCATGTCCCCCGTTTTGGAAATGGGAGGAGGCTCTCTTCGAAGATGCTGAAGCGGCTTCTGGACGCCCCTTTTTGCTCCAGCAGCCCAAGTGGCCGGGTCAAGCAGGGGGAGGGCGCTGCCAGAGCCCCGGTTCCCAACTCCGTGCATGGATACGGTTGCAAAAGCCACTCATCGCCGTGACATTAGGCTCTCTACCCACAATGGCAATAATAGTAACAACGACAACTGATGATGATAATCAGAGTTGCTAAAATTGAGAGTGTCCCCATGCTGCTCGTTCAGTTGGGGGGCGGAGCTGAAGGTGGCCTCCCCCTGGACAAAGACAGGCGCCAAAGTCGCAGCTGACTGGTTCAAATCCAGAGCTGCGGACCGCCTCCTGTTCGAATTTGCTTTTCAGCATCTTAAAGGACCTGGCCCACTGCTGCAGCCTCCTGAGCGACTCGGAACGCAGGCCCGAAACTGAAATGAAGCAAAATAGACGAAGACCCGACGCCCCTTCTAAGGGGGTGCCAGCTCGTCGCGAATTCTCATGCCCGAGGAGCCTGCGCGAGGCCACTTAAAGGGGGGTTGGAGGGCTTCGGATCTCGGGTTTAGGGTTTCGAGCTCGGGGGTGAATTTGAGATCCACGGTTGGGGGCTTTGGGGGTTTTGGGGTGTAAGGTTTGGGCTTCATGCCCCCAAGCGGGTCCGTGCAGTGCACTCCACAGGCCTCTTAGCGCCGAGTCCTCTTCTTCGCAGAGCTCTTGGGAGGCCTGACAGTGCACTTCACAGCCCAAAAGCAAGAGATGCAAGAGACCAAGAGAAACCCGGTAAACCCTAAACCCTAAACCCTAAACCCTAAACCCTAATGGGCCGCCGGCCGGCACGCTGGCCCACTGCCATCATAATCAGAATCAGAATACCATGACGACCACAGGAATCATGAGAATGATACCGGCCATGATTGTGAAGAGTGGCAATGACAATGCTAATACAGGAGAGATCCTTCGAGATCTCGGAATCTAAGGAAGTGGCAGAAACATCCCTAGAATTAGTAGAGCAGCTGCGACGGATGCATGTCTGTTTGCTTCTGGCTATTTGGGGCCCTAGCACCGAGCCCAAGCACGGGCCAAGGAGGATTAAGGTAGTGCTGAAGTTCACATGGAGAAAGAGTACTGGTGAAACTAGTTTCCACAGTGATACTAACCAAGATGATGGCGCTACTACATAGTTATCACTCAATACACTGCAAATATACTTGTCACGTTTTATCTACTCTGATACCGTAATGAGACTGTAATACAATATACCATGACATACTGGGGTCTACATTATTACGAGCATCTAGGTCGAGGTCAATGCTCAGAACGAGTCAACTCCGAATCCGTGCCTTGAGCTTGGGCTGGCGACCTCCTGCGCCAAGGACGACGGTTTGCTGGGGGGTGAGTGTTTAAAAGGTTTGCCTGCATTGAGAGGGGGAAAGAAAGGAAGAGTGAGAGAGACATTCTGGTTCTAGCTTCAACGCTTATGGGGTTCTGGGCCCGGGCCGATGAGGCTTCCTGAATTAGAGAAGGGTAGCAGAACCTAGTAACCTAGTACATCCGGATGCAGTGTCAGGTGCTTGAGTGCATCGTCCGCCGCAGTCTACCCCACATCCGTTCGGATCCATCGGCATACATGACCGGGTCGACAATCAAAACAAACTACAGTCGCGGTAGTTCCAGAAAATGAGAGGCTCCGTATTCACCTGAAACTCGCTATGGAATCCTTCTTACAAGGACCCCTCCCTTTCTCGCGACCGCTGCTTCATGGAACACCCACAGTCTTTTTTGACCTGGCTTGTCAAGAAAATTCATGGTAGCAGCTGAGCATCTGACAGTCTGCAGATCCTATGTCAGCTTCTGAGGCACCGTTTGGCCCCTCCGAACCTGCCTGGCTTGTGGATGACAAGCTTCAGTTTTTCCTGACCGGTCTGGGGAACTGACCTCTTTTAACGCGCCTTGTGCGCAGAGAGGTTTGCCAAAACCCAGGCTGGTATTCGTGCTTGCCGATACCAGAACTGTGCATGCGCATGCACCTACTATGCTGCGTCAAAAGGAGCCGCCTGTGTGGCCGCTCTCTGCTGAAACTCAGCATCGCCTTTCGAATTGTCGGAATTGTCTCTGAATTCTTTGGCATAAGGGATTGGTTGCTTTACACATTGAATTAGAGAACGGCTTTCACCTCTCAACCAAGCAGTGAAAGCGTTGGGCCAGGGCGGCCCATGGACGGAGCGGAGCAGCTTTCTGAGCCATAAGGGGCTCAGAAGGACGGACAGAGGCGCCATCCGGTACCTGCGATGCTGTGGTCGGAGGCCCAATGGATGGATGCATCTGGGACAATCCCATCGGGCCCAGTCTCACCTGAGAAAGCTTGGCAGTCGAAGGACAGGAAGTCGAAAGACGGCTCCGTCGAGAAGTTCTCCACTCGAATGGGCACTGCGTCGGTGACGTTCACTGCAATGAAGCACGACTCTTTTGAGGGATACGGCTCAGGGAATCCAGGGCTCATGATGCAATCGAACTCATCCATCGTGCACTTTCCTCTCACGACGGCCCACATGGCACCATTGAAGTCGACGTCAGAGACATCGTCCTCCTCCTGCTGGCAGCAAAGTGTTGCAGAGATGGCAGCTGCATCTCTCTTTCTTTCGCCAGGGCTATGACCCGGAGAAACCCCGCCCCGCTTTTCTTTCTTTCGTCAGGGCTATGGTGTAGCGGTTTGACCCCCCTCTCTCTCTCTCGCCCTCTTCCTCCTGCCCTCTTCCTCTTTCTCTTTGTGGTCTTACATGCATGCCTCTCAAGAAAGCTGCAGGCCCTACAGCAAAAACGGTGTCCTGCTTGTCCTCCGCCGTCGCCTGTCTCATCTTGTCCTCCATGACATCTTCGACCCAGGCCAGGACGCTCTGAACGCGGGCATAGATGCCGGGGAAGCCCGAAACCTGGGCTGTTGCAAACAAACTCTATGAGGTCATATTATGGGCTTTAAAGGGCCAGGGCGTCAAAGGGCTTGGATGAGGTTGCCAGAGAACCCAAAGCATGTTGGTTGAAATATGCAGTTCTAGCTTCTGGGTTCTTATGGAAACTGACTCCGTATCAAGAGCCCAGAGACTGCACAGCCTTGGCCCCAGGAGGTTACACCACGCAGGACATATCCACCACCCTCCTCGCAAACCATTGGCCCACCGCTGTCCCCTTGGCAGGTGTCTGTAATTCCATTCCCGGAGTGACCCGAAGCACAGAGCATAGAGCCTGTAATCGTCTGGTGCTCCTTGGTGTAGTTCACTTCGCAGTCATGCTTGTTCAGGAGGGTAACAGAAGCTTCTTGTAGGACTTCAGGGACCACCCCTCTCGAGGCCAGAGTACCCCAGCCCGTGATGTGGCACCGTGTGCCCACCTTCTCGGAGGTGCTTGGAAGGCAGGCAACCCCAATGCACTTGTTCATGGGCATGGGCTTGTCCAACTTGAGTAGCGCGAAGTCGTAGTCATGCTGCACGTTGTCGTTGTGCAGAGGATGAACGAAGATTTCTGAGACTCGCCGCTCGGCAAAGAGGCCCTTGGAGTCCGAAGAGGCCTTTCCCGAGTCCCTCTGAGAGGAGCCGGCGCCCACTCTGAGGCTGCGCACGCCACAGGGGTGCTTGATCTGCGACACGCAGTGTGCTGCAGTGAGGACCCAATCTGGAGCGATTAGGGTGCCACCACAAAACTGGCCCACACTCGGCGAGCCGATGCTCACCTGCCACCTCCACATGCATGGCTCCGACTCCGTCCCATGCACTATCCGTTTCCTGAGATTGTTCCTCTGGGTGCCTGGCAAGCCGCAACGCTTCCAGTCTGGCTGCGCCCCCTTGAGGCTGGGTGCAGCTGAGGCTAAGGCTGGCAACACCACAAGGAGCCACCACGCGAGCATGGCGGCGAAGACAGGGAGCTATCGAAACTCCTTGCCTGGGCCTCTAAGGGCTTCGTGCACAACCAGAGTCCCATGCCACCTCCTCACGTTTCCCTGACCTTCCTCCCCTCCGTGCTCTCTATAAGCACGGAGAGCACAACCCACAGTCATCCGGTTGTCATCATACTCAAAGTAACAATGACAGCAGCAAGAACGTGATGAGAATCATCATAATCGTGATCTAATAACGATAAGGATCATCATAACAACAACCCTAAACCCTAAACCCTAAACCCTAAACCCTAAACCCTAAACTCACACAGCAAAAATGTGCCTCCTGGCTCTTGGATTCCTTCGGCTCAGGCAAAGCCTCGGGTTCCTGGCCGCCAGTTCTCCCCAGACTTCGGGATCTTAGGGCGTGTAATGTAGGGGCCTTAATAATTAGAGTAGGGTTTCGGGGCCTTTTATACTGCTTAAAATAAGGAACCCCCCAAAATAGTCTAGGTAATTATCTAGGCTTCTATAGTACATGTATAGGTCGGGCGACTGAGGTTTCACGCTGCGGAACTCGGAGTCTCGCGGCTTTGGCTTGAACTTTGTTGCTCAACCTGTCGCCTTCAAGCACCCACGACTACGCTCCTCGTACTACTACCAGTTACTACCACCACCACCGCCACCTCTACTACTGCCGCTGCAGATCCTGCTTCTGCGACGACTGATTGCCCTTCTTGAGAGCCGCCTAAGCGCGGAGCCTGGCGACCTCACCGTTTTAAGTCCCTGCGGATCGGTGCCAGTTCAACTAGTTTAAATTTGGCTTCTGAAGGGTATGGAGCTATAGCTTGATATATTTAATATGTTGTTTAGGTTTTCTGCATACCTGCATTCGACTCGCCAGGATCCTGACAGCTCACCGTGCCTCCGTCTCGACTGCGGCCTCCTTGTCCTCCACAGTCTGGCACACGGCCTCCTCTGCTTGATCCTGCGAAGCCTGCAATCGCTCGGCACAAGGTTACAACTACTCGTCAATCTCCAAAAGACTACTTTGCATTTTTTTCGCAGGCC